GTGTGAGAGAGCACTGGTATGGATGCGGACACCAAAACAGTGACTGGACCTGTCATTTGGCTCAACGGCTATGTGTTGTTGTTGTCATGTCTTAAGAAGAGAGACTGAATAACAAAAATGTTTTGCATTTTATTAGTTTTTTGTACGAATACTAACAGTAATATTGTTGTTGTTGTAGTGTTTCAATGGATACGTAAATCTAGTGTAAGAATTTTGTGCCTAAAAACTATAAACTCAAGCATAAAATATCAGTAAATTTTTATATATAAAAATTTGAGATTATATTATTGAGATTTATATTGATGTTTTAGTCGTAAAAACAAATACCATGTTAAAATAAATATTCACAAATAAATATTACATTTTATTTGTGTTTCTGCAATAAATATTCAATACATAAACAGTTAAACAAATAATATATCAATAATTCTGTATTTGTGTGCAAATTCCTGCATTTGAAAACACATACATATGTAATAAATATACAGAATATATGTTTTTAAGAATACTCTATAAGAAAATACCAGATAAATACTGTAAGCTTTACTATTACAAAACAATATCCATTAACCTAAACAACCATCACGGAACAAGTATGCAAACCTAAGCGCTATTTACCCCGATACTTTGAATTACGATTATTACCCTATTATTATAGTACACATTTGAATGCATTACTACAGTTAATAGTAGCACAACAAAAATCTATACCCTATTCAACTAAAACAAACATTAAACACAAAAATATTTGAAATAACATAAATAGTAATTAACACACATTGATATCTCCCGCAGACCTAACTGTGCCGATGGCTCAGCGCTCGTTCCCGCCCTCCTTCTGGAACATCAACCACCAGCCGGTGCTCTCACACCATCACACGGGCGGCGCCGGTGGGGGTCAGTCGGGCCTATGCCTGCCGGGCAGCTCATCGCAAGTGCACGAACTGTACGCCGACGCCTACCACCACCCGTCCGCACTACACCCGGCCTCAATACACCACCAGACAGGGGCCGACCCGTGGCACTACACCCTGTCGGCAGCGGCGGCGGCCACGGCCAGCAACCCGTACAGCGCCGCCGCCCACCATCACCATCATCACAGGGCGGCCGCCATACACGAGCTCAGCAGCTACTCGGCCGCCGCGGCCACCAATCGGTTCAATACGGCTCCCTATAGTTCGCTGCTCTTACAGCCGGCGTCCATGCGGTCCACACGACTGACACCCGTGTCGGCCACGTGTACGGCCGCGGCGTTTGATAAGTCGGCGGCTGTCGATGTCGGCGCCATGAGTTGGCCGACAAACAGCCGCTACCATCACGACCAGCAAACGGCGGCCATGAATTTCGCGGCCGGCATCGACCCCAGCAATTACAGTGCCAGTGCCGCCTACGGGGCCGCTATGAGCGCTGCTATGTCTGGTATGCATTACTGATTATGTATATATTTGAATGCAGTTTAGTGTAATTATTATATTATTTATATAAATCGCTTTATCAGTATGACATACAGTACAACAGAATATTCTTGAATATTTTACATGTTTTTAATTATTATGACTATTGAATATTATATGATACGATATATTAATTTATAAATAATTTAAATGTTACATGGCTTTTTAATTGCAGTAATTTTGTTCTTTCATTTATACATATTTAAATATTATGTAAATTAATTGTATAGAAATAGCAAAACGGTAATTTGTTTTGCCTACAGTCATGCATACCGGTTACATTATATTTACATTTATAAACATCATTATGAAACGATCAAGCTATATTCCCGAAATCAGCCTGATAACTGGCAGCAAACCATCACAAGTGCATGGGGTCTACTTATATTTATAATTGTGTGTGTTTTATGTGCGCGATCACTGACCAGACTGTGCACATCCGGCCCACCAAACCATCAACAAACTAATGACAAAAAAAGCAGTTATTATGTTATGTTATTATTTTTTCTGTGCATTTTATGTTTTATTTTGACTATCAGTGCCTGATATATACAAATTTGAGCAATTGACCAAGATATTATGATAATGCATTGAAAAAAGGGTCAATTATATCATCTCCCGGTGCTGTCCCGGCGAGCAATGTGTGAGTATTATAAATAATAATTTATTTTATTTTAAGTTAATTTTGATTTTTAAAAACATACAATAATAAACCTACTGTTTATGAATTTGGTGATGGTTTGGGGGCATTTAACTGTTATTTGCATGCTTGTTTTAATTATCTTTAAAATATTTTTGTTACATTTGTACAAACGTACTTGCACAAATTTTCATAAAGCATCTAGGTAAATGTATGCGAAATGTATTAGAGTTACTAATATCCGGAATATTCGTAAGATTAACATCAAAATATATGGCATCAAACATATAGGTCTCAAAATGTGTAACTGAGTCTATATATCGTACACATTATACACACACATACTGTAGTTGTTTGGCCAACACATATCATGGCCGTTGTTAGCACAGCTCCCGGTGCTGGTGATGCTGTGATGCGCCCATTCATGTTCGTAATAGTGATGCTCTGGCGCTGACACGCGCACTATCCAGGCGTTTGAACGTACTATGAGATAGTAACTCTCTCTCTCTAAACCACATATTTGCTCATTTGCTATGAGTCTTGATATATATTTATACCAAGTATTTTAAAAATAAAATATATATAAATTAATTGTGAAAAACAAACAA